CGGCTGAGGTCTGGCAGGGAACAGGGAACACTGCTGTCAAGAGCTGGCGGCCCGGCAGGGAACACTGCTGTTTGGAGCTGGTGGATGAGGTCCGGCAGTAAACTACACTGCTGTTGGGGGCTAGCTGTTGAGGTCCGGTCCGGCAGGGAACTGCAGGAGCTGGCGGTTGAAGTCTGGCAGGAACAATGCCGTCAAGAGTTGGCGGCTGAGGCCCGGCGGGACACACTGCTGTCTGGAGCTGGTGGTTGATGTCCAGCAGGAAAACTCTGCTGTTGGGAGCTGGCTGTTGGCTGTTAGTTGGCAGTTGAGGTCCTCACATCAAAAGCTGGTGGTGGTTGCGGTCTGGTGGGGCACAATGCCGTCAGGAGCTGGTGGTGGAGGTCCGGTGGGGAACACTGCTGTCTGACACTTGCGGTTGAGGCGGTTAATGATGTGAGGAAGAAACAAAGGAGGTGGAGATGCAAGGCAGCTGGCAGCTGACATAAAATCTAACGTCTAACAACCCTCACCTGACAGGTGGAAAATTAAGGGTTACAGTTACAGTGTTACATGATTTTGCGATACGTGTTTTTTGATAAGTCCAAACCGAAACCGATTGTGCATCTCAGAGCGTCTTTGATTTGACTCTTATAGAATCCAGCTTCACATGACGTAGAAGCCATGAGAACTGTACTTGGACTGTGCGTCTCTGAGGCCCTAGCCGCAGTTGTGACCAAGCAACCAAGCAACATGACTGTTCAACTGAAAAGAACAAACAAACGAAGGTAAACAGCAAGTGCAAATACAGTTACACAATAATTTTTAGTCCAAACGGTGCTGCGGCCAGCTCATCCAAAGGAAATGAATTACGATATGGAGTTAAAATACGCTGAGCTCATAAGCTCTCTTTGTGTCTTTGACGCTGCTCACTGCTCACTTCAGAATGTGGGAACCAAGTTTGAAGATATCCCTCAACGATTTGTCAGTGTTGGCAGCAGCCTTCTTTGGCTTCTTGGTGATGTTGACTCCTGCGTTCTTGGCCTTTTCCTTCTGAGCAGCCTGGAAACCAAATGAAGCGACTTGTTCACCTTCTGCAGCCCCTGCCACACCTTCTGCAGAGGCAGCCACAGACAAAGCAGCAACCCAAGACTTTGCGCGCGCAGATTTCGCTGTTTGCTCTGCCTCTGTTTGCATGCGTGTCAACGGCGCACGCGTGTCAAAGGCAAAAGTCGCTTCTTCTGCCTGCGCTGCAACCTGGGCCTTTGCCTTGGCAAGCTGCTCCTGTATGGTGGTGATCGATTTGGAGTCCTGATGATGCTTCCCGTGAGCTGCTGCAAGCTTCTTCTCCAAAGTAACAACCTTTTGTTCGCCTCAATTCGGAAAGAAGAAAGAAAGAACTAAACATTTGATGATGTTGTAATGATTTAGCTAATCTATTGCAAAATCATTATGATTGTTTTTTAATATAAATATTTACACACATATACCCATACACACAATATATATATAGACTGACTAAAAACTAACATGTAGAAATTGCTGCGCAATGCATAGTGTCTCTTGGCCACTGTCTTCTTGAAGGATGCATCTACATGATCTTTTAATTTCTGAAGTTTGGTCTCCAACTCGCTTTCAGTGCCTTCCAATGCAATGCCACTTACTTCCTTAAACAAGTCAGGCTCAGGTTGGTTTGGCACCCCTGTTGCTAGTACTATGCTTGGTAAGTACTATTGCGACTGCTACAGTGAAGGACACATAAAAAAAGGATGAGCGCAATGTTAACACCTCTTGGCCTCTTGACCCGAGTCTTTGCCAGACTCCCAGACCCAGAAACAGAGAAGCAATCACAAGTGTTAACTAGTAAAAACACATTTATGTGTTGTGTTGTGGTGTTGTGTGCTTTGATTGTGAAACATTGTCACTGAGAATGCTGAACAATGAACATAAATCATTTGGTGGGTTTGAAATCGTTGGGCAGCAGTGTTGCAGCCCTTGGAGACACATGTTTCTTGTTTGTTTGGTTGTCAAGTTGTTAAGAGTAGATGTGATAATTTGATATATATATATATATATATACATTATATGTTTTCTATTGCATTGTTTGTCTTCCAGCAGCCCTACATGTCGTCACTCTCCCCACACTGTTGGTGTTTTGTGTTTTTTTTCTTGATTTGAGCGCTTGCTAATAGACTCATAGACACGTTGTATGTGCTCGTCTTGATATGTTTGACCAAGCATCCAGAGGAATTTCCACGAAAGCCTCATGTGATGGGGTTTTGTCCAATGCCAGTCGCAAAGTCGTCCCACGGCTGGATCTGGCGTATGCAGTGGACCTGACAATGAGGTATGCATTGTAAGTCCTTCGTGCCACTGTCCAAAACGCCTGATCATGTCTGGTGACCGTCCGACAATACCAAGCTGGCACAAAGACATCTGAAGTCAAATCGCCTCCGACTTTTTGGCAATAGAAATCTATGCCAAACAACTTGGCTGCGAAAACTGAGTCCTTCGTTTTGACTTGTGAGACATGTCCTGCATATGGCATGAAGCATAGCTGGCTTTTGGTCTTCTCAGCAGCACAAGCTTGAAACATGCCCTTGATGTTTGCTTGTACAGGATCTCGTTGAGATTCTCGGGATGACTTCTTGGCCTTGATTGTGTTCAGATTCATGATCTCAAGATTAAACAATAATGACCAATATGTCAGTGCAGTGCATCAGAGTTTGTGATTTCTGGATATTAAAAATACATATGTTGTTTTTGTTGTCCAAGGTTCCTGAATCTCAATTGTCAACCAATCATGTGCGCCAGACTTTTCCATTTCCATGTCGAACACCTGCCATAGAAGTGCTTCCAACTGAGCCTGAAGCGCTGCTAAATCAGCAGAGCTAACCCTGATATCCAAGGACTTTGCGTGCTGAGAGTGACTGAGCACTCCCAACTTGGCATCACTGTAGAAAATGCTCTCGGCAAAAGTAAGTTGTGTGCTGCTGCCTGCACCACCAGCACCTTCGCCTGTACCTTCACCACCTGCTTCATTGCCCTTCTCTTTGTCCATGTCAACATCATGTACATCCGACGCACCCTCTCCGCGTTTTTGCTGAGCTGCTGATGATGCTGCTGATGATCCTGGTCAGTCACCAGTGGTGTCCATTGTCCATCAATCATTTCATGTGAATTTCATGTGGATGAGTATGGTCACATGATGGTCACATATGACCTAGGTAGTGTAGACAAGTATGTATTGCAAGAGTGGTATTCAAGGAGTGTTGCAGTCGATGTGCAACAGTAATTGTAGTCCATCATTTGTGTTGAGTGTCCAGTTTTATTTATTGATCACCGTTCATTTTTGCATGAAGATGTGTTAGTGGTTGTGTTTAGATAGGCTTTGTTTGGCTTGACTCACAACAACCTACAATTCTGAGCCCTCAAACACCCTGCAATCACCAAGACAAAATCACAACCACATGCTGTTGAATTATCTATGAAACAGAACTGCCGAATGAAAACTTGAATTCAACACTATCACAGTGTCTACAAACAGAGCTCATCCCATCTGAATTTGTTTGAGAAGTTCATTGCGTGTTGAAACACACACATGACATGAGAAAGTTTTGCTGGTTGGTGGTGGTTGTCATGGTATCAATATGTAATATATATATATATATTTGTCGAACCAAAACACAAAATGCACACAAACACATACCCAACTTCATGCTTTGGCATATCCAAGTGACCAAGGCTGAATCGCGATTCAAGGTCTTGAACGCCGAGCCTGTTAGTGAGAAAGTCAAGAACTGATGAAATCGTGCAGTGTTTGGTCAATGCCATAGTCCATACTTCTGCCCAGTCTTGGGCACTCAGCAGCACGTCAGCTCCAGCAAGTGCATGAAAGGATGGACCCTGTGTCGCTATGGACCTTTTACCCTCCAGAAGAAGTTGTTCTGCAAAAAGGCAAGCTTGAGAGCCAGCAACGCCCCAGCCCAAATCCTTGAACTCAGCTTTGATTTGCACAAGCTCATATGCCATGTAGGAAATGCGCAATGCAATAAATGTCATCAAAGTATTGACGTTGCCCCAAACCTGACAGGCATACTTTTTGTAAGGTAGGCAAAGCATGGGATGGGATGACATTGAATTTAGGCAGTTAAAAAATGAAAACACAATGCAAGTGAAAGTAATCGCAAATGTGTTTGTGATTCTTGATTGCTAAGTATTAAGTACGTCGAGTCAAGGTCAACACATACACACACATTTGTTCGAATTTCTTTCAAAACCTAGCCTCTTCACTTTTCTCTACAAAGTGCCCGCCACCTGACGTGTACATCACTGCAGTGTCAGCAGCAAATGACATTCATTGTGGCTTGAAAGGAAACTCGCGACGCATCAATGACAGGACGAACTGAAGCGATACTGTGCTGGCCCCAGCATTCATGATCGCTGGGTACACTGCCAACATGACGTTTCTGTGAACGGCGTGCATGTGGAAAGGCAGCTTCATCTCCTTTGCGATAAAATTGCACAGGTTGTTGAACTCTGGTCCTTTTTGTACCATGAACGTAGCCACCCCTTAGCTTTGGTTGTAGCTGTAGGTGCAGGTGATTAAAGTGTCAAATGAAATGAGTTAAAACAATATGCAACGAATGCTTGCTAAATCAATGCCACAATGTTTGCGACATGATTTAGCTAGTTAGCTAGCCTATCCTCGGTAAGCTGGAAAGCCGGTGATCTTAAGGTCGGTCAATGTTTGTGGACATAAGACATGTGATTTGTAGAAACTTCAATATGCTTATGAAAAAAACAACAATACAGTAATTGATCTTTGGGTCTGAGTTGGTCAGTTAGTAAATGATATTTCACAAAAAGAGCCCTAGTTGCCCAGTGCTCTTGGAGGCCAAGGCACGTCCCAATGTTTCATCTTCTTCATCCTGCACAACTTCACTAGTTGGAAGGGCCGTCAACCTTTGGCACATGGTTTCTGCTAGCGCAACAGGATCAGAAACAGCATCAGCGTTAGACACTGCCATATCCAAGTGTGTCTTCATGAAGAAGGTGAATAGTTCAAAGCGTAGCGCGCTGTAGATTCTGAAAGACTTGCCGTTCACTGAGATACTCTTGTCATCTGTGCGGAAGATAAACTCGAGAAAGAGTGATAGGCAATACTTGTAGGTGCTCCGCATTGCCTTGGGTTAGATGTGAATGGAGGCAGGCTAACAACTCTTCCAATTGGACCTGCTCTATATTGGTTGCTTTGCATGTGGTGTTGCAGCATGTTCCATAAATGTTGGGCCTGTGATTGTGAACCTGTTACATGCAAGTAGCACATGGTTACTATACATAGAAGGTCTGTAGTCTGTTGTGACAAAGTTGTGACAAATCTGTGCAGTGACAAACAAAACATCAAGGCGTACCGTGGCTTACACATAAATTAGGCTTTGAACACTGAACACTGCACAAACTATGCAGCACGTGACATAGTTCTCAGTTTGGATTTCTTATCTTCCAAGCTACTCCTCCAAGCTGATCCATGTATTCCTGGTCACCCTGCTTCCCGAACTCATCTGCTGCGATGAGGCACAGATCGATTGCTGATTGCAAGCACGACAACACATCATCCAACACAGTCTTGGACCTTTTGTCACTATCGTCTGATTCAATATAGTTGCGAAACTCAATCGCTTCCAACTGTTGTGCGTCTGATTGTTTCATGTGTCCAACTCCATTGTCAATCAACTTCTTCAGAAGCTCTTTGACCTTAGCAGCAATCTGCTGAGGCTTATCTTGAGGCAGCTGTGGTGAATGTGGCGACCTAGCATGTAGTCCAACATCCTCTGCCAGTTGGGTCAACAACTTGTCCCTCAAAGATTCGAGCTTCCGAAATGTTGTAGAAGTCACCATAGGCAGTCCAAGCACATTGAGGACAACGGCATTGTCTGCAGGACTTCGTTTGAAGCAGAACTCAAGACAACGCTGGTTTCCACGTGACTCGCTTGGCACCTGAGCACTGTTCAACTGAAGGCTATGGCGGCTATATATATATATATATGTGTGCTGAGTCCTACTGTGTATGGATGGATGGATGGATGGATGCATGCATGCATATATGTATGCGCGCATACGCACATTCATGTAATATTTGTTTATGGTTGTCATTCTTAGTGTTTAGACACCAGACGTGAATTTTTGATATGTGATGTCATTTCAGATATTTGATGTATCTGTATTTGTCTTTGAACTCTTGTTTGTTACTTTTGTTTCCTTGTGGTTTGAACAAACTGAGACACCCACAGCCAACTTCAGAGCTTCAAACAATACTCGTCCAACAGTGCTCTTGGAGTAGAACCGGTTGGTGTTGGACAAGACCGTGTTGACCATTGCATGACAGGTGGCAATCATGCTTTGTATTGATACACTGGAGTCCAAGAAGTCTAAATGTGATTGACACCAAGACCTCCAAGACTTCATGATGCCAAAATCCTTGAGGCGGTGTGCAAAAGATTTGGTAGATTCGAAGCTCTTGTAGGTCGCGAACTTGTCAGAATTTGCAAACATGAACTCCTCGTAAAGCTTCTGGTACGCAGTCGGATTGGCAGCAGTGACCCCAGTAATTGCGCACTTTGCCAAGCTTGCTCTAGCTCAAGTGCTGAGTCTATCAAGTCAAACATGTGCAACCCAGATCCACCATGGCTCAAATTGTGTAGACGCACTAGATCTCGCACAAGATAATCAGGGCAATGAGAGGACAACATTCGCACGGATCGTAGTCCTCTATCCAGCGTGCCGACCACTGCAGGAGCATTGGGATTCTCCTCATAAGCCTTGTAAAAGGCCATTTGGCGGTGATTGAACGTGATAGCCTCAATGGGCCACTCTTTGGTGTCATCTCTGTATTGCATCCAGGCAGCCCCTGCGACAGAGAGATTGATTTGATCAACAGCGGACAAATCAAATCCGTGTGTTAGTGTTTATTTGATCTTATGTTGTGGATGTTACTTATGAACACACACTGAATATACGGTGAAAGAAAATAGTCTGAGAACAAACAAACACGCTGACACAATGACAGTCATATGAAGGTTACCAATATTGATTCAATATATATACATATATATTTGCACTGCACTGCACTGCACAGCCACACAACACAGCTCACTGCAACTTACAACATAATAAGACATGTCGTGTTTGTATACATATAAGGGTTCAGGCTATCAGCAAACCATGCAAGCAGTTCACTCCAACCTCAAACCTTGATGAAACACAAATGAAAACAAGCACAAAAGGCCAGTGGTAATGACAGGCGCAGCTCTGCTCTGGCCTGCGACATCCTGGTGATAACCGTCTGTCAGCATTCTCTGCTTGTATGCTTCAACAGTCACCTCCTGACAAAATCTTGTAACAACAACAACATCTTAAATGCAATGTTAAAGTGAAAGCAACATGCTCATCGACTTGCGACTCGCAACACACAAGAAGTTGATGTCACATTGATGTCACGTGTCAGAGTCATGTGTCACAGTGTCACATAGTTCAGCATGAAGATAAACAAGAACAAAAAGGAATGAAGTGAAAAGACGAGAGAAAGAGTGTATAACAACACTGTATGAGTGTATGAGTATGAATCAACCAATGGAACCAACACCTAACATCTACTACGTTACTGCTTTGGCTACTACACTCACTTATGTACAAGTCAGTGTCATGGTCATGGTCACTCATCACTCCCATCACATGTCCTGAAGCTCACGGTTCAGCTTGGATGGAATGATAGCACGTTCCAGCATGGTGCCCCTCTGAACAAACCAAGGGACATTGATGCTCGGGCAGCCAAACCATTCAAAGGTCTTCTCAATCATTTCACTCGCAGAGATGCCATCACCAAATAGTGAGCGACCATCAGATGCCTTGCTTACAATGACTCGAAGTTCATGTTGTGAGACATCACTTGGCCGCTTGCCACTCAGCAAACCACCAGACTCAGGTCCTCGAGGAACATGTGGGCTTGATGATTCAAATGTTGGTGCACTCTCATTCCTCCCAAGACCTGCTGCACTGGTATGAACACTTTGATCGTCGCTCAGATGTGATGCACTGGCAGTGGTGGACATCAACATGTGAGATTGTGACTCAAATTGAGAATCCACACTAGCTCCACCACCACCGCTAACAGATCCCTTTCGAATTCTCTTGGGTGATGAAGGGCTTGATCGCAACACAGCCAATCTACGTTTGGCTTTTGTTTTGGGAGCGACAGCATTGGATGATCGAAGCTTCCCTGCTTTGCCCATGTCAACGATTCAATCTGGTCGACTGGCAGCAGGAGTGAGAGCCACTGAGCAACTGTACTTTGTTCAGCCAAAAACAGCTATGGAAAGGCACACCAATACATTGAATCATGAGAAACTCAATTGTGTCACAGCGCAAAACAAGTGGTTTATGCAATCTATTACACGGATTCCACGTCCAAAGTTCAGCTCGGCTCACACCCACACCACACAGAAAGACTTCATGATATTTCAAAAATGTTTATTTCTGGGCGCAGTGCATACGCATATGACAAGATATGTTAGCCAGCGTGCTCACTCTGAATGACATTGACTTGACTTGAATTTTCTGTTGAGTCTTAAGTCTTATTGATTTCCGGCCTTGCAACTGCATCTGCTCGACTGCTCAACCAAGTTTTTGCTGAGTGCTGAGCACCTGGAAATGATTCGCGGAACAATCGAGGAATTGTTTGCATTGCGTTACAAATGTAATGTATTGGCACATCTCCATTGGTTCAAAGTTGTTTGGTTTCATCAGTGCAATTGTTGTAAAAAGAATGCTGCTGCTACTGCTGCTACTACTACAAAATAGTATCCAGTGTCAGGTCTTCAAACGCACGTAAGCATTTCAATTGAGATAGTCATGCCTACAACAAGCAAATCCAATCACATGTTTTGAAATCACAGCATTGTCAACAAACAGTACTCTTGATCAGCACTCCCTCTTGATCATCAGTTGCGACAGTTGCGTTGAGCCTTTACATCCAGCTGGGTATTGCATCCAGCTGTGCCCACAGCCCACCAAAATCAAAATCTGTTACGTATGTCTTGAGAATCTCATTCACAGTTACAAAACTACCTTGACCTGACCTTAAATACATTCTGTACAAGTCAACAGGTAACAAAATCAAACCTTAGCCACTATAGCACATTTGAAGCTGTTGGCTAAATCTGAGAGTCCCAATATATTTGATACAGCACGAGGCAGCATGAAGCTCTTTGGCCCTTGGCTCTTGGCCTCGTTCTCTCTCTCTATCTCTCTCAGTGCAACTGCAATTTGGACAAGCAATCCAACAAATCCAACAATATCATTGTAGTAACAATTAAATAACAAACTAAGAAAAACAAAAGCACATCAAAAGGTAAGAAGAAGAACATCAACAACAACTACTCCTTACTTATATAAGTTAGTAGTTGTGTTTGTGTGAACTCTGAAGTCACCTGCGTGCAGCTGGGCTTGGTGGTGGTGTTTTTCCTCGAATTCGTTTCACTGGCCGCCCGTCAACAATGTTTGGCGTCAGCGTGCGGCGTTGGCTTCGAATTGAATGAATGACTGTAAGCATCCTGGGAATTCCTGCTGTCCTCAGTGGTCGGTGTTGCTGCAAGTTCTTTCATATTGCTAGTTTCAATGATAAAGCAGTCTGCTAGGTTTCTCAGTCGCTCTATAGTCGTTCTATCGCTCTCATCAGCTCAGCAATCATGCCAGTATCAATAAAAGCATCCGTCGTTGAGCCATCACATTTTTTAGAACCATTGAGCTGTTGAAAGAAATACAGATTTATGAAACTCATGACCAAGTTCCCTTCAGGACGAGTGGGTTAAGAATCAAGAAGAACATTGAAGAAGACTGCAAACACTACTATGTAACACTAACAGCAAAGTTGTTTGAGTTTGACAATTTGAAGGTACAAACTAGTCGTTTAGATTCATAGACCAATGCCAAACTGTATGTAAGCTCAATGTATGATTTTTGTTGACAATGTTATTTGTTAGCAAATTAACAAGAGTTTTGTTTTGTGTTGTCAAGTTGCAACCTAGAGTCTCAGTGTTCATCAAACTGTACAATTCCGTGATCGCTGCAAGCACCACCGAGTCAGAGTTGCCACATTGACTCCGTATTGTTTGAGGCTTCCTGTGAGCCTTCTGAACATCAAAGGAGCTGATCAAATAGCCAGATGGTTTACAATCAGGCAAACGTCTCAACTCAGGCATCACAGGCACACCCATCCCGACCAGAGCCTCTGAAGCTGACAACCATCTTGGTGGATTTGTTCTCCAAGTCCACAACAGCCCGAAATTGTGGATAAAGGTTTGCAAGTAACGTGGCTTGGACAATGTTGGGTGCTCCATAGCCGACTGCGTCAAAGAATAGGCCTGGCCTGGCCACTTCAGCTGATACACATTGGCGTTGTTTTGCTCAGTTGGAGTAAGTGCAGCAAACCAACGATCGCGCTCATCCATAGCCATGAGCATCTGAAGGACGGCCACAAGCCCATTTGAGCTCAGTTTCAACTTCATTGTCCCATAGTATTGAGCCCTGCTGATGCACCCACCACAGGTGGTCCCATCCAAATTCACATGGGCGCAAAACCTTTTGGAAGAAGTTCTCCAATGATGATGCAAGTGGCCTTGGAATCAATGCGGATTTCATTTTGTGTCTGCCCACAGTATAAGATCTCAGACGCCCAACTGGTGTTCCATAGTTCACTGCTTCAACGTTGACAGTCTCAATCACGTAGAGGTCAGACAAAAAGCGACCCAATGTTTCTCGCACTCGGAAGGCTTTGACATTCTCACTGACCCATTCGGGTGGTTGCAGCATCAAGAGAATTCCGATCCTGGGTTAGAGCTGGCAAGAAGAGACCGTCACCAATTAGTACTCGCAGTAGTTTTTGAA